GAGGCCGAGAGAGAGCAGCCAAAGCCGAAAGGTAACGCATCTGTCTACTCTCGTGCTCATGGTTCGAATCTGTCTGCTCTGTCTCCAGCCAAGGCCGAAAGGTAACACATATGTCTGCTCTCGTGCTCATGGTTCGAATTTGTCTACTCTGTCTGCTAGGTCCTAGAGGCCGAATCTGTCTGCTCTCGTGCTCATGGTTCGAATCTGTCTGCTATGAGATTTTGCACGAACCATTCGTTGGTTTATTCTACCATATTTGTTTTGGACTGTTGTGAGATTTAATTTTTCTGTTACGAAATTAATTTTGGATTAATTCCAATTTTAAATTGTGAATTAAATATCTTCTAATGGTTTTTTTTTTCAGATGTTACATACGTGGTTTTGAATGCCATCATGATAGCTATTAAGTACTCCATCTCCTATATAAGCTTGTGTAGGGGCAGTAGGTTTTCAAGAAGTAAAAAGGTATAAAGAAGAAACACAACACACGACGAAAATCACATTTTCTTCTCCAAAATTCTGCTCCTACTCCTTGAAACTGTGTTCTGCCCGTGCTCTTATTCGCCTGATTCATTCGCTTGGGTGTTCAAACGTCGAACCTTAGTACGTTTTATCCTAGGAAACCTAGGCTACAACACTCCTAGCACTTTTTGGAGGTAGCAAATAAGGTTTTAAGGAAACAATGTTTCGGTCGACTCGTACTAACCACTCTTCTTCATCTCATTTCTTTTGGTTTTGGGATTATGCTCTAAGCATCAAATCCTTTCTCCTTTCTTGTTGGTTGGAATTATAATATGAGGATTATGAGTTTCATTTTTGGTTGATATATATATATATATATATATATATATATATATTTCTGTGTGTGTGTGTATTTCAGATATATATCGAATAATATTTTATATATTTTCGTGTGTATATATAAATATTATTTTGCGATATTAAATCGACTTTGGTTCATATTTCCTAACAGTGGACACTTTTGATCCACCTTTACATTTGCTGTTAAACAGCCTTGAAGTGGGAGGGCAATTATATCTTTTCACGTGCTATTCTTCATCAGCCTTCAAACTTATTTGATGGCATAGCAATGAGTCTCTTTCGATTCCCTAACGCAAGGCGCCAACAACAACACAACTAGAAAGAACAGAAGCAAGGGTAACAATGTTAGGCCTTGTCCCATAAAACCTCAATCAATTGTAGACACAACAACATTGTTGAATCAAGAAATCCATGTTCCTGGGCAAATTAAATTAGCAATGCATCAAGGAAATTTGTAGTAATCGATTCACACAATATCATTTTTCAAAGAATTATGATACAGTAAATTGATCAATAATAAAGAATACTCTTAAATTACTCATAAATTGTTAAATCGTGCAGGTCTTCACTTTTCTGCTCGGAGCATACGATCTCGTCTTGCTCGTTACTGCCCTCCTTGAACCCACAGTCTCCGTCCCTCTTCTCTAAGGCATTCAGCTTCGTCCCTCGTTTCAGTGCTTCTGCGGATGTCCCTAACTTCCTATTAGTTGATTGGCTTGAATCACATCAAAAAAGGCCTTTTTGGACTGAGACTAAGTTTTAGTGCAGAAGATGCTGTCATGTACCAACTTGGACGCTTCTTTGATATGGGACAATTTGAACGATTCAGGCAGATTTTTCACCATTCAACCTATAGGATTCTGCTTGGGCATCGAGAGAGGAAATCTTTGAGTAGTTTGTAGTGATGAGATGTCTGCGGAAGATATGTTTGTTGTTAATGAATATGAATATAATAATTGAGTCGGTAAATATGTTGAACAAATAATACTTGGATAAAAATAATTATCTTGACAAGTTGTTGTAGAAAGACTCCTTAAATCAAGGATAATCTCTTATTTTGAACAAGACTCCATGAGGCCTTCAAATTTAATTGCTCTTTCAGACCTAATGAGCTCAAAACTCGCCCAGTCAAGCCTAAATGCCTAATGCAGCATAAATTAATTAAACAAACTAATTAGGTTACTTCCAAAGTGATGTGGAATATATTTATTATTATTATAATTTAAAAACATATAATAATAATAATAATGATAATAATAATAATAATAATAATAATAATAATAATAATTAAAAACATATGTAATAATAATAATGATAATGATAATGATAATGATAATGATAATGATAATGATAATGATAATGATAATAATAATAATAATAATAATAATAATAATAATAATAATACATTTTTTGTATAGGGGTATTTGTCTTTTAAACACATATTCCATTATATTCCTCTTTTTTTTTTTTTTTTTTTTTTTTGAAAATCAAAGTTTATATTCCATCGAAATAACATGAGATACAACTTGAAGGGATTACATCCCAAAAACCAAGGACAGAAGAAGAACCAGTCGTCTGTGCAAACACATGAGCTACGTGATTCGCTGACCTCTTGACATGGAAAACAACAATGTTCCCAATGCCATTTGCAATCACACGACATTGCTCAATAAAAGAACCAGCATACGAAAAGTCATGACGGACAGAATTAACCAAACACTGAAATAATATTCCTAAACTCAACCAAACACTGAAATAATATTCCTAAACTCTATACCTTCAACGAACCAAACAAAAGAATACAATTCCTAATATATTCCTGGCTTATTCCATTCCCTATGGATTACTATTCTTAATCCCTTAAAAATCATTCCGTGAACCAAACATGCTGTAAGTGTTTCATAACCAAACCCAAACCCCCTCTGTGCATACCCTGCAATCACTCCACTCCATGTGATAACATTCAACTCAATCTCTTGATGTCGCATTCTTTCAGATAACCCTAGAGCTTCAGTAAATCTCCCTATCTGGGAGTACCCAGTGACCATTGCATTCCATGAAAGCAGATCTTTCACCTCTATATGTTCAAACACTTTGTTGGCTTCATTCATCTGCTCACACTTTGCATACCCGTGAATTTGTTTGCCTAGCCGGGTTGCCTTTGCAGGAGCACAGTCTGGAAGTACATTCACTAAACTATCGCATCTTGCAATCATCAAACCAAACACCCCAACACTCTCCTAAAATCTTGACTCTGCGCATAGGCTGCCACAATAGAGTTCAAAGAAATAACATCGTCAATTCCTCTCACAATCGTTTCCTCAAACAACTTGTGCGCGTGGTCCATAGCGCCACATCGACCGTACATGGAGATAACGCCGTTGCATACGAAGACATTGGTGTCATGCCCAATCACCACGCAAAAAGCATGGACAGACTCTCCTCTGCGGAAGGAAAACAGCTCGCCACAAGCCTTGAGCATGTAAGGGAAAGTGTACCCATCGGGGGTCCACTTGAGCCTCTGCATCTCGCAAAAAAGCAAAACCATGTGCTCGTAGGAACGGAGGAGGACGCTGCGCTTGATCAAATTGTTCCACCAGAACACAAGCTGCAAGCACGCCGTTTCTGGGTCAACGAGAGGCCGCCTGTAACACCCTGTGTTACGGCTCCTAAGCTAGCTCGCCTCACCCCTCACTAAGCTCATGAAAAAAGGAAACCCCCTTTCGATGGGACGACAACTGCACCTCAGCCTTTCAAGAATTGAAAGAAAAGCTGACCACAGCACCCGTCCTAGCCCTTCCCTCCGGGATGGAAGGATTCGAAGTTTTCAGCGACGCCTCCAAAAAGGGACTGGGATGCGTACTAATGCAAAAAGACAAAGTAATAGCATACGCATCCAGGCAACTCAAAACCCACGAAGAAAATTACCCCACACACGACCTCGAGCTAGCTGCCATCGTGTTCGCCCTGAAAATTTGAAGACATTACCTATACGGAGTGCAATGCAAGATTTATACAGATCATAAAAGTCTGAAGTACATCTTCACCCAGAAAGATCTAAACATGCGACAACGAAGGTGGTTGGAACATATAAAAGATTACGACCTAGATATCCAGTACCACGAAGGGAAGGCTAACGTTGTGGCAGACGCCCTAAGCCGAAAGGCTAACCACTCCCTCAACACCACCTGGATCCTGCCAGACGAGCTATACAAGGACTTCCAAAGGTTGAACTTAGAAGTAGTAGAGCAAGGACAAACCAATTCTGAAATCCACCTATTCAGTGTCAGAATCATACCCACACTACTCGAAGAAATCAAGGCCGGGCAGCATCAAGACCCAGAACTAAATAAAATTCAACTCGACCTAACTCAGGGAAAGGACGGACCATTCGGAATATGCGAAGATGGCAGCCTCTGCTATCAGGGAAGATGGTGCGTACCCACGACACACCCCCACCTAAAGCAACAAATCCGGGAAGAAGGGCACAACTCACCATACTCGGTGCACCCCGGAGGCGACAAACTATACCAAGATGTGAAAAAGATGTTTTGGTGGCCCAACATTAAAAAGGAAATCGCAAACTTCGTGGGAAAATGTCTAAACTGCCAAAGGGTAAAAGCCGAGCGATGCAAGCCCAAAGGACTCGTACAACCCCTTGAGATACCACATGGGAAGTGGGACTCCATATCCATGGATTTCGTCGGAGGATTGCCCACAACACCAACAGGCAAGGATAAAATCTGGGTAATAGTGGACCGGCTAACCAAGACAGCACGGTTCATTGCTATGAAAGAAACATGGACAATGACATAACTAGCCAGGGCCTACCTGAACCGAGTCGTAAAGTACCACGAAATCCCCCGAAACATTGTGTCCGAAATCTCCCGAAACATTGTGTCCGATAGGGATCCCAGGTTCCTCTCACAATTCTGGAAGTCTTTACAAACAGCCATGGGGACACAACTAAACCTGAGCACTGCCTTCCACCCCACTACCGACGGCCAAACCGAGAGAACCATTCAGACTCTCGAAGACATGCTAAGAGCCTGCATGTTAGACTTCCAGGGGACGTGGGAAGAACATCTAGACCTCATCGAATTTTCTTACAACAACAGCTATCACGCAAGTATCCGCATGGCTCCCTACGAAGCGCTGTACGGTCAAAAATGTAGAACCCCCTTATGTTGGGAAGACATGGTCGGCCCAGTAGCGCTAGGACCCCAATACTTACAAGACACCATAACTAAAGTCAAAACACATACAAGAAAGAATGAAGGTCGCCCAAGACTGCCAAAAATCCTACGCCGACCTGGGAAGAAAGCAAGCCGAGTTCACCTCCAGAGAAAAAGTCTGGCTAAGAATCTCGCTCACACGAGGGGTAATGAGGTTCGGAAGAAAGGGGAAACTCAGTCCCCGGTTTATCGGCCCCTATGAAATCATAGAAAGAGTCGGGAACCTAGCCTACCGCCTCGCCCTACCCATCGAACTGGAGCGGGTAGACAACATATTCCACATATCCCAACTAAAGAAATATATACACGATCCAAGCCACGTACTACAACCCGAGGCCGTGGACCTTGACGACGCACTAACTTACGAAGAGAAACCCGTAAGGATCCTGGACACCAAGACAAGAACCACCCGCCAGCGAACCATAGAAATGGTAAAAATCCTCTGGACCAACCACGGGACCGAAGAGGCAACATGGGAACTCAAAGACACAATGAAGGAACGCTACCCCGAACTCTTCACACAAGGTAACCAAGGCGAAAGCATAGGATAATGGAAGAGGTCACTCAGCAAGGACCAAAGCTTCGGGGACGAAGCTTCCCGTTAAGGGGGGGAGAGTGTAACACCTCGTGTTACGGCCCCTAAACCAATTAATTATTTAAACATTTACACAAAAAGAATAGTTAAATTTCATTAATTAATTAGGAAGGGTCCACCATTAGCCCATGGACCCTCATCCCTAAATCCAACCCTTAGTCCTATAGGAAATAGAATTAGCTAAATCCATACCATTTAGATCCTAATTAGGACTCTTAGATATATAAATAAGGACCTAGGAGGCACCTAGTACTCACACCCCAATAACTTTCACCACACAAGAATTCCCAAGGATTCCCATATGAGAAATCATGAAAGAAGAAATCTTAAAGGAAAGATCCTTCATAGCCAATGAAATTAATTAAGGCTAAGAGGTAACCCATGTCTCAACAAAACCTATTTTCTTCGCTATAATCTCCTTCCTTGGCCCCCTCTATATGCTTGTGTCTTGATTAATTCCTCTATGCTAATTGTGATATATTCTTGATGATTGATAAGATGATTTATGTGTATTCTTGATAATCTTGATGATCTTGATGTTGAAAAGAGGTTCTTGATATTGATATGATGATTCTTGACAAATCTTGATATTTCTTGATGTTAAAAATAAATTGTGATTTTGATGATTTGGGAGGGATTAGAGCCCTAGGGTGGATTGGGAATTTGTGTTGTAATGTTCTTGATATATATATTTGGGTGGGAATTCGCATGTTCGGGTGTTGATTATGTTTAGAAGTCGTAATAGGATGAGTTATACGTGATTCTTGCTTTTGATCCATTAATTGCCTACGTGGTGTCGTTAATTGCGTTTAAAAGTGTCTAAGCATGGTTTCGAGTTCCACAAAGGATCCCGGGACGTAATTGTGATGAAAGAGTCAGTGGGGGGTAGGTGGGGGTAGGGGTACCTGCCACCTACCCGCTGCCCGAAAATCACCGCCAGGCAGCGGGCAGGCGCCAGGCAGGCGTTCGCCCGCCGGCAACCTGCTGCCCGGGCGATGATCTCCGGCGGGCAGCCGGCGGGTGACCCCCACCCACCGGCTACCGCTGGTCCGTACCCACCCCGGGTCTTTGGCTTCCCCGTTTGATGTTCCCCATTCCCCCGTGGTGTCCCAACGGACCCCGTTTGTCGTACTTGAGTCTAGTTTGATGTTTTGGGTACCGTTCGTAGGATAAAAGAGTCTTACGGATTGCATGCTAGTTGAATCGGTAACCCGTTGACCTAGGTGGAAGTCGTATGAACCCCTTAGGACTATTATTAGTATGTGAATGATCACACGTAAGCTTATTCATGTGTCTTCCCCTTCCCAATGTGCTATTATGTGCTACTATGTGCTATTGTGTGTTATGTGATGCATGATTCCCCAATTTGGTTGCGATCAAATTGGCTATACGGGCAGTTGGATGGGTTGAGAACCATCCCAACTGTTAACCAGGCCGGTTGCGATCGGTCAGGTATATAAATATTATATAGGGCTGCGGTCCACTGTTGGTTACTTATGAGCTGCGGTTCATCCTCCTGGCTGTGATCAGTGATTCACTTCTTGGGCTGCGGTCCACATGGGCCTCGGGTACGATGACCCACCTAACTGGACGCGCCAGGCGGTGTGTAGGGCCAATAAACCCGAGGAAGGCTATAGTCCACCGACCTGAGTAATCAGGCGGTGTGTAGGGCTACGGCTGGCTGCAATCCACCGAGTGATGGGCCAGCGGTGTGTAGGGTCGTAGTCTCCGAGGATCTTCGCCCACCGACTGAGTCTCTCAGCGGTGTGTAGGGCTTGATCCGCCACGGTCCACCGACTGTGCCCGTCAACGGTGTGTAGGGTCGTATGTCCCCCCTTGTAAAGGGGATCACAGTCCACCGACTGGGCGCGTCAGCGGTGTGTAGGATTGTGGTCCGACGTTGAGTTCGTCAGCGGTCTTTAAAGGGTTGGTTGCGATCAACTCCCTTCATGCTGCGGTATGAGGTAAGGTGCTGCGGGGCCGTGTTAGTGCTATATGCACTAACCCTCATGTTCGGGGCATGCGATTGGTCCCGTGGCGCCAGCTCAGTGTGATTGAGTGTCACAAATGATGATTGAACGATGATATGATTGATGTGGAAATAGACTGTGGCTTTAGTTGCGTATTCTTTATGATAATTCTACTTAACTGTTATCATTGATTGTTGTGCTTACCCCTATTTGCTAGGTCCATTCCTGGTTTTAAAACTAGAGTCTCTTAAGTATATATCTTCATGCTTCAAAATGATTTTTCGTATATCTATCTATAATGTATTTCAACGCGTTGGAGTGGGTTACCGGCATCATTTGCTGAACAGATATATTTGGCTTTCAGGCACAGATGATTAGCTCCCAGAGCGCGCTAGAGGAACTTGGAGTAGATAGATAGTTTTTCCTTTCGGCCTGCGTGCCATGATGATGTATTGAGGATATTTAGTTAGTTTAGCCTGTGCATCTGAGTTCTCCAGGCCAGCTCAGATGTGGCATAGCACCCCGCACTCGTATGTTTAGTACTACTCTGTTTTGGGATTTAATGAGAATTGACTTTTGATATATAAGTTTTAAAAGTTTCAAAATTTCGGGGTGTTACACCGCCGATGACTATGAGCTTGGCCTTGATAGAAGACTTGCATGGTTTCAGAAAATCGGAGAACGCTGAAGAGATGGTGCCCAAGAAGAGAAGAAGTAGGTAACGGTAGTTGAAGAAGAGCGGAGGAGGACAGCGGAGTTTGAGAATAGCACGTGAAAGGACACAATTGTCTTCTCACTTCACAGCTGTTTAACAACAAATGTAACGATGGACCAAAAGTGTCCACCTTTTAAAACGGCAGGGCAAAATGTGGCTAACTTAATAAAACCAGGTAAAATGTGTCCATCGCGCAATAAATGTAGGACCAAAAGTGAATTTAACTCTTACAAATTAATTACAATGATATTATATATATATATATATATATATATATATATATATATATATATATATAAAGGCTAAGGCTTTCATGCGGTGAAGGCCGCAAGTGAAAAATGCGGTTGAATCTCAGCCTTAGATCAACTCCTCCTTAAAAAAAAAAAAAAAAAAAAAAAATTCACCATCTACGATCTATAAGAATGTGCACCGGAAGGCACAACAATGTGCTCTGGAAGGCATTACAATATGCACTGGAAGGTAGAAATATATGTGCACTATAAGGCAGAAAAATATGCAACAATTATTGAAAAGACTAAATTTAATACATGATCTTCAACAAAAATCATAAACGATTACAATATTCAACTAAAATTAGTAACTAGTGATTCAATCAAGATCAAATGATCTTTATATATATATATATATATATATATATATATATATATATATATATATATATATATAGAGAGAGAGAGAGAGAGAGAGAGAGAAATGCGAACCAATCAGCGCTCACCACGTGTCAGCATTCATTGGTCGAGTGCACCTACTTTCATCTATAAGTGAACCAACTTTCGCCTGCAAGTGCATGTAGTTTTTGTCTGCATTCATTGATCAGGTGCACCTACTTTCACCTACAAGTGCACCTACTTTCGCCTGCAAGTACATGTAATTTTGCCTTGTTAACATTCATTGATCTGAGTTCGTTCTGTTTGGCATCGTTTTTGTTTTTGCGGGGAGTTCAGCCGGTAGTAGTACCCGTGAAAATCACCCGCAAACATTCATGCACCTAGGTGCAACTACTTATAACTATAGGTGCACTTAGTATTGATGCTTAGTGTAAAGTTTACTTGCACCTATAATACATTTTACATGCAATTGTAATACATTTTACTTGCACTTCGATGTTCAATTATTTACGAAAAGAGTTAATTCCAGCCATGGTCCTCCGAGTATTGTGATTTTCCAAAATTGATCCTCGTCTTTTAATTTGAACGAAAGAGACCCCCAACTATCAGATTTGTTCCAGCATTGGTCCTTCCGTTAACCATCAGTTTGTTAGGCGTTAGTGTAAGCGCTAAAATGGTCATTCCCTTAGGTATGTCTATGCACACTCTCTCCCTCATCTCTCTCCGCCGTGCTGAAGAAGAAAGGCCGCCATTTTCCCTTCTCTCCTCCTTCTCATTCTGAATGTGGCTCTGAAGAAAAGCACAAAGCTTGATCTGCATTTGCTGTCTCTAAGAAGCCACAGACATGCTTTCGTCTGCCGCCAGATTTATTCTATTGTTCTTCTTGTTTGGTGCAGATCACACTGTGTCCTCCTCCTCCGTGGCCGCCGTCGCTGTTCACAAACGCCGCGTTCTCCACCAGCCATTTTTCCATGTGGATTCTACCCCTCATGTTCCTTCGCCGCCGACGCTTACCACTCCGGACATCCCATTTTCTACTCCTGCCCCTGCCAATACCCCTTTCTTCCCGCCGTACTCTTCACCGCCTCCTCCGCCGTCCCTGTCTGCATTTGCTACCTTACCTGGGAACACTGCGGCTCTTACCGGGCAGTTTCTGCTACACGTGAAACCGAAGTAGTTCATCGGTAGCGGTGGCAGGATGAACTGGGTCTAGCTGATATCCACCACTTGTGCGATGGCACTGAGCGGCAGCCAATGCTGGAGTTATAAGACCCTTCGGTCGAGAAATGGATATACATCTGGGGGCTCTTTTCCTCGTGCAGTTCTCGCCCATGTGCTAATAAAGCAGAAGCGAGCAGCTTTGGTCGTCCACAACAGCGTGGCAAACTGCAAAACCAAAGCCAAACTTTCAAGAACTAGAATTGCTTTGAGATCCTCTGTACCTCATCAAGCATGTTTACGAGCTTTGCTTTCCTCATTTGAATTCCCTACCTCTCTGCGGTAATGAGCTCGGTGTTGTGGTTACCGCTGCTACTCTCGACTTCCGTTAGTCCATTGCCGGCAGTTTTGAACATTGGATGAGTCGCCGACGATACTTTGGCTTCAGAATTAGCACCTGATTTAGCGCTGAACGGCATTCACGCCATTGGAACAGAGATGCGAACGGACACTTTGCATCAAAGGTGCTAATTCTCCTACTTTGAACGGCCACGCCATTGGAACAAATGGTAAGAAGACACCTATCATATGAATGTACGCTTTTACCCCTATTTTTAACGTCAAACTAAAAGTAAATTCACGGAAGGACTATTTACTAATAGTGGAACGATTTTGATAGTCAAGGGTTTAATTCGTCCAAATTAAAAGATGAGGACCAAATTTGAAAAATCAGTATAGTCAGAGGACTAATACTGGAATTAACTCTTTACGAAAATGTCATCGCATTTTTTAAAAAAATCAGTGTTTCTCATCCATTAGATCTGAACACGTGGACGGATATCAGGCATTCACATATTCGCACCTGGGCGCTCCATTCGCACCAGAGTGCAATTCTATATATATATATATATAATACCTACAATCTTAAAACTAGAAGGCACAATGATGGATACCAGCATAGGAACCCAGCCAGACCATTTCTAGCAACAAATTGGGACATGACCAATCGATCGGGTTTTGACTCCTTAAACTAAATTACCCAACACCCCTCCATAACCCCAAAATAAATACCCCTTTTATTACCCCATAAACACCCATTATCACCCATTAAAATCCACTAACCTCTTAAATTACCACTAACCACCAATAAAATACCCTATTAACTACCCTTAAAAACCCCTTACCCACTATCTATTATCTTGTAGCAATAAGAAGGGAGGAATAATGAGAGGAAGGGGGGCTCCATTTCATTTTACACGAGAGAGCTATGCTGAAATACATGTACAAAATCACCTACAAAAATAGTGAATTATTGGTTTGACATTTTCTAAAAAGGTCTGTGGTTTATACCTTTCAATTTTACGTAAAAATATTGTGTCTCTTTATTATTTCTTTGTATTATTTCCATTTTATTTACTCAAACCGGTTGTGTTGGACCCTCGGTAGACCGTTTGAGAGTCTGAAAACCAACACACAACAATGTGCACTGCAAGGCACGTAATACAATGTGCTCTGGAAGGCATAACAATATGCGTTGGAAGACAAAAATATGCACTGTAAAAAATAATTTTTAAAAAGACTAAATTTAATACATGATCTTAACACAAATCATAAATGATCACAATATTCAACGAAAATTAGTAATTAGTGATTCATTCAAGATCAAATGATCAAAGCCCCCATTAACAATTAAAAACAAATAAAAACACTCCATGCGACTATTTAAAATTAAAATACAGCCAAACCATAAAACAAAATCATATCCGTAGATCCCTAAAATTAACGCACCAGAACTGTCCACACGTTTGTATTTTAAGGCTTGTTTTTACAGGAATATATATATATATATATATATATATATATATATATATATATATATATATATATATAACACTTACAATCTTAAAACTGGTAAGCAGAACAATATGCTCTGGAAGACTCAACAACATGCACTTCAAAGGCACAACATTGTACTCTAGAAGGCATAACACTGTGCTTTTCAATAAGGAAAAAAGTGCATTGAAAGACAAAAAAGTTAACTTATTTACCCAAAGCAATGTGCAATGGAAGCCACAACATTGTGATCTGTAAGACATAACAATGTGCTCGATCTGCAAAAATGGGAAAAATGCTCTGACAAAAAAAAATAAAATGTAACTTACACAAAATTAACATAATGTCACAGTATTTTTTTTTTTTTAAATTGCTTAATTTTGACAGTTGATCTGGATTGAATAAATGGATAAGTTTAAACCATATTTTTCACCTAATGCTTGTTTCTCACCTGATCCGTTATATATATATATATATATATATATATATATATATATATATATATATATATATAAAAGACATAACAATGTGCTCGATCTGCAAAAATGGGAAAAATGCTCTGACAAAAAAAAAATAAAATGTAACTTACACAAAATTAACATAATGTCACAGTATTTTTTTTTTTTAAATTGCTTAATTTTGACAGTTGATCTGGATTGAATAAATGGATATGTTTAAACCATATTTTTCACCTAATGGTTGTTTCTCACCTGATCCGTTATATATATATATATATATATATATATATATATATATATATATATATATATATTGTAAGATTTTCCCTAGGTGCAAGTTGACTATGCTTATTAAGTGGTCTGGTTGGACTGAATAACTAGAAGTTGTTAGTCAACCAGACTCTGTGCTTAATATAATCCTGGATTGATGGGATACAGGATGATTGATGATATAGCACATTCAGTTACGGTACTCAAACTGCTCAGTAATACCAATACACCATCCATCTAGGGTTCTGAGTCATGTCTGAGGCAAAACATGGCTAACGGTCTACCGTTAAGAGGTAACACAACAGAAACATCAAGTCTGAGGCAAAACATGGCTAACGGTCTACCGTTAAGAGGTAACACAACAGAAACATCAACTATGGCTGGCTGGAGATACACGGCTATCGCTTCCGCTCATACGAGGTCAGATCTCTCGTATATTATTATTCAGTATTAGTTAGACTATTTAGATCTAACATTTGGTATAAGAACCTTTATAATCTTTGCCTAGTTGATTGCATTGTCTCAAATCAACATTAAATTTCATATACATTAAGTTTTCGTATATGTTGTAATTCTTTAAAATACATACGTTAAAATATATCTATTCAGTCAGAGGATATAATTTTGTAATTTTACGTGTGTGTTTGAATTAATCTGAAATTGACCCAGCCTTCACCATAATTTTTTTTTTATCTGGAAATTAGCGTACTTCTTCTTTTTTTTTTCCTTCCTTCGAGTCGGATTTATTTTCCTGATGACAATTTTCCGGTCGAGCCGTCGATATGCGATGTTTTTTTTTTCTTTTGGAAACAAAAAATTGGACTGTTTTTTCCCTTTTCGCCCACTACTTGTCTTCGCTGGAGAGTTGTCGGCCTTTGGAATTGCCGGGATAATCGCGGGTTACCATCTCCGTTTGACGATAGCAACGACGGCAAACTTTAAGAAGTCGACGGCGGTTCGCGTTGCAGTGAGGCGATACGGTGGAGCGGGCGACGTCGCGGCTGAGGGTGGTTGGCAGCGGACGTTGGCGCTGCGAAGAAGAGAAATGGCGGAGGCGAAGCCGGATCCTCGGCGACTTACCGGCTGCCTTCTCTCCTTCTGTAGATGACGGCGACATTTACTGGTGGTTGCCGCTGCTCCTCTTCGACGGACGGCGTCGGTTGTTGGCGGAGGAGTATGCAGCACTGCTTCTTCCTTCTTCAGTCGGCTGCTACGGTTTCAGCTTTGGTTGAGCACTTGAGCTATGAAGAAGATGATGATCGAATATTAAGTTTTGGGTCGGGTCAGGCCCATTGGGACAGACCTGATCCAACATTTTTTTAAAAAAATCCTTGGGCCTACTTAAGTTATGGGCTTGCTTTAGTTTTCCACCATCATATTTGGCCTTCTCCTAGTTAATTGATCAAATTAATTACTCCTTAATTAATTATTAGGTTATCATTCAAGCAAATATTAAGTTTTAATTTGTTTTTTGAATTTTAATTTAATGTTAAGATGCATATTAAATTGCCTGAAGTATTGCAATTTATTTAGGATATATGGGTTAATAATATATTAATAATATTAACATGCAAAAATCCAAGCATGCTTTGTATATTCATAAATTATTTTATTATCTAAAAACAAAATAAGTGTTAATACCGGTTATGTCCTTGGTTTTTGTCCGTGTTATTATTGTTGATCTGTTTGTACATTGTGTTGTTAATATTGTACAAAATTTTTTAAAGACAAAAATGTCCAGAATATTCTGTTACTGTTAACTATCATTTGCAACCACATTTCCTCCTTCATCTTCTCATTTATCGCGTAAGAATATGAGATTTCCACCTTCATCGCCCAATACTCAGAGACGTTTCTTCCTTCATCCTCCTTCATTGCCTAAGAATCTGAGGCTCAATCTACTATCATAACCAACGGGATAAGTTTCTCCTTCACTTCCTTCATTTTCACCCTAATAGTAAGCACAAATTCCTATCAAGGATTTAAGCAATCAAAAGGAAAAACAAGATATTCGAAGCAGAGGTTGGGTAGGATTGAAGCAATTAAAGGGATTCAATGGGTTTGATCGTCGATCGCGGCTATGGTTTCTTCTAATTTTATTTATCAAAGGTAAATTTATTGATTAAAGCCTAATTTTTAAGTGGACGTTCTGAATCATTCTTATTGATTGGAAATTAGATGCATTTGTTATATACTACTGGTTATAATTATCGTAATTGTTAGTCGGAATAGTATATGTTTAATAAAATCCAATTATTTGGAATTCGTGCATACTTGTTCTACTGTGATTGCTTAGAAAACACATATAAATTTCAGAATTTTTGAATGTTATAAATGGAAGGAATTACTAGGTGTTTGATTTACCTTTATGCTTTATTTGAAAAATCACAATTGTCCAGTTAATGCCTGCCAAATGAAAGTGCATGCAGATTAAGATGATTGATACAATATACTGGTTGTATTTTGTAATGTTTGCAAAGGTGGGGAAAAAAGAATTCTGTGTGTGTTTTGTTGCAAAGCTATTACATGGGTGTCTAATTGCATGGTCCTGGGAGGAGATCATAGTTCTCATTATAGACCATGGTCATCACAAATTTTGATCTTAGCATCTTAATGTCTAAAATTGATGCTGGCAATTGATTATATTCTACCGCGGCATGTGTCTTTCTAGTGGTGACGGGGAAACATGAGAAATACAATAATCTTTGCATTATGTTTTGAAAAAGTGTATAACCAGCCATGAAATCCTACTTGTTTGTTTCACAACTAATCAACTTTTGTCTTTCTTATGTGTGCAAAGTTTCCTTTTTTATCTACATGTCTGATGTATTATAATATATTTATATTTATGTTCATGGTTGAGTGATCTCTGCTTTTAGAGATAAATCATGGAAGACCAAATGTATGATGTTACTCGTCAATACCCAACTTGTTGGGAAGGTTGCTTATGGTCTGCTGTGCTTTTACATCCATTTTGTAAAGAGTTTCATTCTTTTTTCCTGATGTTTTGTTGTTTGGTTGATAAGTACATTTACCTCCCACATTGGCAGGCAATATAATTCTTCTCCATCTGTAATTGTAATTAGTGGAGGTATTTCAGGCTTAGCGGTTGAACGTGTCCTCCAGAATGCATCTTCCAAGGTAGATTGAATTCATTTATCTTACCCTTATTGGCTGGAAACTTACTTTTTTTTAGGACCAATTTCACTGTAACAAAGGCTATATGATATTGTACTAGGTGATATTGCTGGAATCAAGAGATATAATTGGTGGACGTATTCAAACTGACTACTCGTTTGGTTGCCCTGTTGACATGGAAGCATCGTGCATGGTAAGTGTTTCTATTTCAGAAATTTTATCCAGAATGCACTTTTCTGCATTTTTACATGTAGGTTCAATGAGCTTGGTTATATAACTATTATTTGATTTAGTTAGAAACAATAAATATTAGATATTTTGTGTTCTGGTGAGCTCCTTTTTATAATTGTTGGCCAAAATATTTTATTATACTATAGATCACTACCTTAAGAAAGTATATTTTGTTTCAGGCTACATGGTGTTTGTAATGAGAATCCTTTGGCTCCAATGATAAGGCGCTTGATCCTCAACTTATATAGTACTAGTGGTGACAACTCTGTACTGTATGACCATGATCTTGAGAGGGAACTTACCTTTCACCAGATCATCTAAAATTCTAGATTAGTATATCATTACTGCACTATGATATCAATGCATCACTTATGCACTTATGGATCATCTCAGTCAAAGTTTCATTGACATTTAATTATTACTATTATTATTATTATTATTATTATTATTATTATTATTATTTACTTTTTTGGTGATTCAGTATCAGTTTTTTTACCTGAGAAAGTACTATTTAGTTGCTATACCCATAAGGTGGCTTAAGCATAACAGATTGATACAGTAGCTCTATGAGCTTAGATTTGGTTTAGGTCCAGAACAAATTGAGAGTGATTTGGTTTAACTTAATTTTTACCTCTTGGGTTATTTGCACCACTATTTTAGTCTACTACACATATAATCTAATGCCTGATATATATAATTATATTTGCAGCTTTATGCTCTTTGGTATTGATGACAAGAAAGTTCCTCAACATACACTTGTTGAACTTGGAGATGCATTTAGAAAAATTCTCAAAGAGGTACGCTTTCCTTGAATTATTGTTTCTATTTTTTACTTTCATAATCTTCCCTTAGCTGCTTTCTTAGATTAATTGTGATAATCCATTTTTTGGCCCCTATACACTGAGAAAGTGAGGGATGAACATAGTCAAGACCTGTCAATTCAGCAAGCTGCAATATCAATCGTACTAGACAAATATCCAGAACTAAGGCAAGATGGACTTGCCGACGAAGTGCTGCAGTGATACATATGAAAGATACATGCTAACTAAATAATACAAGCATGATATAGTTGTAATATAATGTTCAATACCTTTACTTAAAATTACAAATTTATATATTCATCACAATGAATTTGTATTTCTTGTGTAATTTTCAATTACATCAACAAAATAAACTTTACGTGAATATTTATGAAACTTCGTCAACTCAAGAAAGAAAAAACATTACAAATGCATTTTATCTATTCCAAAATGATTTACTAATCGAGTTTAAGTATTGGGCACAAATTTTCGCACAAAGCGCGTAAAAAAAAAAAAAAAACTAGTTATAATTATACATTCCTAAAAGCATGCATTAAGGTTGGATTCAGCATATTATTAACCCATAGTATATGTAACACTCCGTGTTACGACCCCTAAAACCAATCAATCATTTAACCAATTATCCAAAGAAAGAATTAAATTACAATAATTAATTAGGGAAAAGGCCCACCATGGTCCGTGCGTGGGCCCTCACCCCTAAAACCCAACCCCTAGCCCTAAAAGGAATAGAATTAGTAAGCCTATAATATTAGTTCCTAATTAGGACTCCTAGATATATAAATAGAGGACTTAAGAATTAAATTACAATAATTAATTAGGGAAAAGGCCCACCATGGTCCGTGGGCCCTCACCCCTAAAACCCAACCCCTAGCCCTAAAAGGAATAGAATTAGCAAGCCTATAATATTAGTTCCTAATTAGGACTCCTAGATATATAAATAGGGGACTTAAGAGGCACCTAGAACCCCCCACCACAATAATCCCCCACCACACAAGAAGTTCCAAGAATTCCCCTAGGAGAAATCAAGAAAGAAGAAAGCTTCAAGAAAGACCCTTCATAGCCAAGGAATTAATTAAGGCTAAAAGGTAACTCATGTCTCAACAAAACCTATTTTCATAGCTATGATTCCCCTCTTAGGCCTTCCCCATACTCTTGTGTGTTGATGATTCGTTATATTGATCTTGGTAATTGGTGTTATGATTCCATGGGTAATCTTGATGATCTTGATGATGATAAGAGGTCCTTGATGTTTATATGGTGTTCTTGATGAGTTATGATGTTCTTGTTGATTATGTGATGTTCTTGATAATTGTATGATGTTCTTAATGTTTATGTGATATTCTTACCGAATCTTGATATTAGAAGATGAATTGTGTTCTTGTTGATTTAAAAGTGATTAGAACCCTAGGTTGTATCGTGAAACACGTATGGTATTATTCTTGGTGTATTGGGTGGGAATTCGCATGTTTGGGTGTTGATTATGTTTAGAAAAGCATGATAGGTTATGTACCGTATGTTTCTTGCGTTTGGATCCGTTAATTGTCCACGTGTTGTTGTCAATTGCGCTTAAAAGTGTCTTAGCATGGTTTCGGGTTCCACAAAGGTTCCCGGGACGTTTTTGTGATAACAGAGTCAGAGGGGGGTAGGTGGGGGTAGGGGACCCGCCACCTACCCGCGGCCATTGTTGATGTCGCCGGCTGCCCCGCTGCCGGCGGGCGGGCAGCTGCCCGCCGGGCACCCGCTGCCCGGAATCATCGTCGCCGGCGGGTGACCCCTCACCCACCGGCTACCCGCTGGAAAAATACCTAATTTGGGATTTTGACTTCCCCGTTTGATGTTCCCCCGACCCCCGTGGTGTCCCAACGGACTCCGTCTATCGTGCCTATGTCTAGTTTGATATTTCGGGTACCGTTCGTAGGTTGTATGAGTCTTATATATTGCATGCTAGTTGAATTGGTATCCTGTTGACCTAGGTAAAATGAGTATGTACCCCTTAGGACTATTCTTAGTATGTGAAGGATCACGCATAGGTTTTGTTATACATTTTCTCCCCCTTCCCAATGTGTTAATGTGGGTTGCATGTGCTTGCTATGTGTTATGTGTGCATGATACCCCAATCCGGTTGCGATCGGATTGGTTATTCCTGAGCTGCGGTCAGATTTACACCGTTTGGTTGCGATCAAATGTTTCCACATGAGCTGCGGTTCATATTCCCTAGCTGCGGTCAGATGACATACTCTTGGGCTGCGGTCCACTGTTTGGTTGCGATCAAACTATGATGAACTGCGGTTCATCGGTCGGTTGCGATCGACCCCTCCGTGTTGCGATACGGGGCAGGGTGCTGCGGGGCCGTGTCAGAGCTATATGCGCTGACCCTCATGTATGGGCATGCGATTGGTCCTGTGGCGCCAACAAAGTGTGCTATGTGATGAGATATGGATGAGTTGTTGTTATGAGTGCCTCGGGTGGTGACCTTGGGATTTATACTGGGAATCGTATATGTTGGGTTACGGTTATTAATTGTGCTTATCTTTATCTGTCTTGCCTGCTTTGTAAACTGTATATGCTTGGTATAACTGTTGTCTGTGCTTAGCTCTATCTGTCGAGTCTATCCCTGTTTTAAAGGCTAGAGTTTCGTAGGATATATCCTCATGCTGCAAAATGGTTTTCATATATCTATATATATATATATATATATGTCTATATGTATTGTATTTCAACGCGTTGGAGTGGGTTACCAGCATCTCTCGCTGAACAGATATATTTGGCTTTCAGGCACAGAAGAGTAGACACTGGAGCGCGCTAGAACCGTGGAGCGTAGTAGTAGATAGTTTTCCTTTCGGCCTGCGTGCCACGTTTATGCATTCACTTTGTTGAGGATATTAGTTAGTTAGCCTGTGCACCTGAGTTCTCTAGCTCAGGTGTGGCATAGCACCCCGTACTCTTTATATTATGTTTTGGGATTTAATGAGATTTTATCTTCTTTATATAAGTTTCAAAAGTTTCAAAAATCTGGGGTGTTACAGTATATGAACTTTATTATTAAATAGCACTCAATTTTGGATCCTTAGATCAATTTTAGGCATTATGACCTATTAAGGTAGCCTGTTTTTGTTTTCCCTTAATTTTGAGCACATTTTAGTTTTATGTGTCTTTGGGACTTTAGAACTTATTTTGAATAAGCTAGTTGGTCTTAGGTCATTAAAGTATGGATCCCACCATTTTGATTGATATTTTAATAATAATTGTAGCACTTTTATTTGATTATAACATGTTTATTAAGTTTTAATTATTACTAACTATCATATTTTGGTATTCATCATTGGTAATAATATTAAGTTTTGGGTCTATTTCTGTACTAGACCATTTATCATTCATGTTATAATTCACTTGGGTCATTGAGGTTTACGAGCCTAATTTGAGTGATTAAGTGTTATAATTATTGTCTTGACCTGTTTAGAGACATCAAGGATTTAATTGTTATTTTGGCCATTAAGAACTATAACTATTGTTTAAGTTGATTAAATTTTTAATCTATCAATAGTTTTCAAAGCCTTAATAATAATATTAAATCTTTAATTTTATGGCAAAAGCAATATAGTTGGTATATTGTCTGTATAATGGTAATTTGGTTATTACCTTCACTTCAGTCTACCTAATAGTCATGATTAATTATTATGTGGTAAATTGAGATTAGTATTTGGCATCCCTTAATTACAGTTGTGCCTTTATTGAAGTTATTATTAATTGGCATTATTAATTACTGTTATTAAATTTAGGAGCTAATCTCATTTTATTACCTTTCATAATAATAATTATTTCATGGTAATATGCTATATTTGGTACATTGGCATGATTACCACTTCATTTCACATGACTATTAATGTTAGTAATTAAGTCCCACCAATAAATTTTTAAATGTATCATTGGACGCTGCATCAAGGCTACTAACACTGACAGTGAAGATGGGAGAACTCTGAAGTTTTTTCTTCTCTTGTGTATCATCATCGTTGTTAGCACGATGGGGAGATGCGGTTTGCATCATTAAGGTTAGCCATTAATTTGGACTAGTCACATATTTTATCTTTAGAAAAATGAAAACATTAAAAGTGCATTACCATACTTTAGTTTGTCATTACTAATGTTAATAGTGATTATAATGTTACTTAGCTTATTGCTATTAATAATTAATTAATGATAACATTAATATTGGTATGGTATTCAAATCTATTTTAAACTGTTTCCAAATAAATTTATGTGACAATGTTCCAGTCGTAAAAATAATTTTCTTGACATTAAGGTTTTTCGGACTTCAAATTTTATTAAGTTTTCAAAATTTTATCCGAAAACGTTTATAAATGTTAGCGATTTTAACCATTGTTTTTCCATATTTAGTCTCCTACTTAATGTGATAATATTATTATGGCTATTTATTGCTATTTTGGTTATTTGCAATTTTGCCATTAATAATAATAATATTATTAACTAAGTTATGGAGAGTGATTTTGAATCAATTTAGTAATTTTAGAAAAACATATTTTCTAGGCATTTGACTATTGCCATTAATTTCATAATTCGTTTAGTTCTTTGAATTATATATGATTTTAGTTCTGATTGCCCATATTTGGTTAAGTATGAATAAATGAATATTTGGTGTAAATTCATATTCTTTAGTTGGTTCATACTCTCGAGATTGTTTTATGCATTCAATCACATTAGATGCGTAATACTAAGTTTAATTATGCAATTAGAGTTTGTGAGATTTTATTTTACAAATGATAGCATATCCTTTTGGTTCGATATTGTTTGAATTTGTAAAAAATCAGTTATTTCTCATAAATTTGATCTTTATGGATTAAAACATTTTTCCATGGTCTTACAATTTAAAATTTTTAAAGTATATATTCAGTACAGTATTATTCAAAATGTTTGGTCTCTTTTGGTTTGGACTCATTGGTGTTTGAATATTCAATTTATACTTTGAAATCTCATATAGTAAATTGCTTTAAGTTATGCAGTTTATTTGGAATATATGAGTTTAAATGTTTAATTGTATGCATATTTGTCCACCGCATAATATTATGTTTTTTAAATTATGCAATTTTATTATGCCTTTAGCAATGCATAAATTTAGGATGGAATTATATTAGTTCCTTATTAATTTGGACTTATGCATAAACTTTAGTTGCGGTAGTGCCTGAATTTAAGCACATTTAGTCCGTTAATTTAGTTCACCATTTAAGCTTCAATCATAGGTGAATCCTATAGTTTTCTGTTGTATACCCTACAGTTT